TGGATTTCGGGCGGGCGATGGGCGTGGGCGTGAGGAGGAGGGTGAAGGGTGAAGGGTGAGGATAGGGAGAAAGAATGGAGGGGGGGGGGATGAGGCTGTTTTGAAAAAGAGGGGTTAAGGGTGGTTAGGGTGTGAAAAGGGGGAGGGGAAGGAGAGGGGGGGTTAATGATCCGAAAGGGGGGATGTTTTTTTGTATTTTATTTGCACGGTGTGTGTGTGTGGGTGGGGGGGTGAGGGGGATACGGAAGCTGTTAACGTTGTGTATCATTGATTTTTTTTTTTTTTTTTTTGAGAAGGGGGGGGTGGAGGATGTTGAATTATGATCTTTTTCTTTTGTTGTTGTACACCTTTTGTGTTTATTTATTTTATTATTTTTTAGGGGATCTATTTATGTGTCCTCCATTGTTCCATTATCATTAATCTGTACGACGTATATCTTTTCAATTAATTCTTGTCCTTTTTCCCTTCGATATTTCTTCTTTCGGCCTAATCTCTTTTCAACCCTCCCTCCCTCCCTCCCCTACCCCCCCTTCTGTTACTCCCCGAAGATGCACCTTTTAATCAAAGTTTTACCCTTACACACGCCCCCCCCTCCTCCCCTTTCCCCTCTTCCTCCTGTCTTCTCTTCTCTCCCTCTTCCCCCCTCTCCACATACTCGTTCTCCCCTCTTCCCCTCTCCTCTCCCTCTTCCCTCTCCCTCCCCTTTTTCCTTCCCCCTCTTTCCCTTACTCCATCCACCTCCCCTTTCTCCTTCCCCCCTCTCCCCCCCCCCTCATTTCCCTTCCACCCCCTTAGTCTTCACCTCGATTTCCTCCCCTCTCTGTAAAAGGCATACACAAGATTAATGGTCTTAGTGGTTCCCGAGCTCCTCCTCTCCTCTCCCCTCCCCACCCATCTCCCTGCCCATTCCCCTCCCTTTCGTTCCCCTTTGTCCTCCTATCTCTTTTTCTCTCTCACTCACTCTCTTCCCCATCCCTTTCCCTCCTCCTCATTCCCGCATCCTTCTTTCTATCCCTCTCTCCCTTGTTCCTCCATCATCGTATCCATCCTCTCCCTTCCTTTCCCTTGTCCCTCTTCCCTCCTCCCTCCCCCTTCCCCCATATTCCTCCATCCCTCTTCCCCTTTCCCCTCATTCCCCCAGCCCTCTCTCCCATCGCCCACCCTCCCCATCACCCCACCTACCCCCTCCCCTTTTCCCTCCCCTTTGCAGAGCCCTCAAAAAAAAAAAAAAAAAAATGCGCAGGTCTCTATCCCTTAAAGAGTACTGTTACCCTTGATTTCCACTTTCCGGGGCTTGTTTGCTATTCATTTCGTTAATGGCCACTTGTTTACGTATGTGTGCATAGACGTAGTCACACGTACATCGGTTTACCCTACGCGCACGCACATATTCACACGAATACACGATTCACATTAACATGCACATTCACATCCGCGTGCTCATACTCATACTCCTCATACTCATATTCATACTCATATTCATACTCACATTCATACTCATTCATACTCATGTCCACACACACACACACACACACACACACACACACACACACACACACACACACACACACACACACACACACACACACACACACACACACACACACACACACACACACACACACACAATATCGTCACGGCTTCTTTACAGGATAAGCTGTAAGACAAATACAGAGACGAGAGGCTAAGTAATCGAAGGAAAAACAGGAGAGAACGTGAAGAAGAGAGAGGAGAGAGAGAACAGAAGAGAGAGAGAGAGAGAGAGAGAGAGAGAGAAGAGAGAGAGAGAGAGAGAGAGAGAGAGAGAGAGGGAGGGGGAGGGAGGAGAGAGAGAGAGAGAGAGAGAGAGAGAGAGAGAGAGAGAGAGAGAGAGAGAGAGGAGAGAGAAGAGAGAGAGAGAGAGAGAGAGAGAGAGACAGAAGACAGACAGACAGACAGACAGACAGACAGACAGACAGACTGACAAGCACAGACAGGCATACATACATGCAGAGACAGACAGAGAGACACAGACAGAAAGACGGGCAGACCAGACAGACAGACAATAGATACAGACAGACACAGACAGACAACAGATAAAGACAAACAGACAGACAGACATACACAGACAGACAAAAGAGGAGCTAGTTGACATAGTGACATCAAAAAAAAACAAACAAACAAACAACGAATGAAAATCGGGGACGACACTTTAGACAATAATTACCGAAGCGCCTCGTTGCCTCGTCATTCCAACCGGACGTCGTTACAAAGAAATTGGGAATAAAAAAGAAAAAAGAAAATCCCGAATAAAAAACAGAAAAAAAAGGAAGAGGAGAGAGATGAAGATAGGATGAGCGGGGGGGGGGAGAGAGAGGAAGCTCCTGATGGATGGGCACAGGAGGGAATAAAGAAGGAGAGAGAAGAGGGAGAGAAAAAATGGAGGCTAATTACTGAAATGACCGACGGTTATTAGATGCTCCACACACGAGGTTTTCGTGGGATGGATGGGAAGAGGGGTGAGGGTGAGGGTGAGGGAGAAGGTGAGCGAGTGAGGGAGGAGAGGTGAGGGAGAGGGTGAGGTGAGGAGAGGGAGAAGGTGAGGGAGAGGGAGAGGTGAGGAGAAGGTAAGGGAGAGGGAGAGGGAGAAGGTGAGCGAGAGTGAGGGTGAGAGAGAGGAAGAGGAGGGGAAGGGAGGAGAGGTTAGGGTGAGGGGAGGGAGAGGAAGTGGAGGGGTGAGGGAGAGACGAAGGTAGGGGAGGAAAGAAGGCAAGAGAGGCAGAATAATGGAGGAGAATGAGTTCGAGACACAAATGAGTGAGAGAGAGAAGAGAGTGAGAGAGAGAGAGAGAGAGAGAGAGAGAGAGAGAGAGAGAGAGAGAGAGAGAGAGAGAGAGACTTCGTCTGAGGATTTCGATGCCCTCAGTTGGCCTTGTGTCGTGGGAAACGATTTTTTTTGCACGTGTTGAGTGAGTGATGTGTGTGTGTGTTGTGTGTGTGTGTGTGTGTGTGTGTGTGTGTGTGTGTGTGTGTGTGTGTGTGTGTGTGTGTGTGTGTGTGTGTTTGAGAGAGAGAGAGAGAGAGAGAGAGAGAGAGAGAGAGAGAGAGAGAGAGAGAGAGAGAGAGAGAGAGAGAGAGAGAGAGAGAGAGGAGAAGAGAGAATGGTCTTCATTTGCGGTTTCCGTCTCCCCCCCCATCCTCTCCCTCTCCCTCCCTATAATAAAAGAATTCTTGTTTTGGAATCCCCTCTCCCACTCCCACCGCACCCCCCTCTCCTTCCTGTTCCTTCCCTCACCCCTCCTTCCTGCTGCCTCCTTCTCCCTCCCTCACTCCCTTTCTTCCTTCTCCCTCTCCCCCTTCTCCTGCTTTCGTTCTCCCGCCTTCGACCTGCCCTCTTTTCCTCTCCGTCTCTCGTCCTCCCTTGCCCTCTCCTCCCTCTCCTCCGCCCACTTCGTCCTGCTCTCTTCTCTCCTCCCTTCTCCCTTCCTCCTTCTCCTTCGCCCACTCCTTCCTGTCCCTTCTTTCAGCCCCACTCCCTTCCCTCCCTCCCTCTCCTTCCCTCCCCTCCCCTTCCTCCTTCCCTCCCCTCCCCTCCCCTTCCTCCCTCCTTCCTGCTCCCTTTCGCCTTCAGAGGAAACGGCATGTCTCGCCCCTATTAATAAAACCTAATTATCTTACTCTCCCCCCTCCCTCCTTCCCTCCCTTCCTCCGTCTCTGCCTCAGCCCCCCAACGCCCCCCCCAGCAACCTCCCTTCCTCATCTATCCTTCTTCATTCCCTGCTGATCGTGGTTTGTCGTGGGTATTCATTTATTCGTTTTTTTTCCTTTTCTCTCTTTCTTCGTTTTGTTTTCTTTTCTTTTATGGGTGTGTGTGGGGGTGTTTTTTTTAAAGATTGTATTGTTTTTAGAGGGAAAGGGAGAGAGAGAGGAGAGAGAGAGAGAGAGAGAGAGAGAGAGAGAGAGAGAGAGAGGAGAGAGAGAGAGAGAGAGAGAGAGAGAGAGAGAGAGAGAGAGAGAGTGGAGAGGAGAGAGAGGAGAGAGGAAGAGAAGAGAGAAGAGAGAAAAAGGAAACAAAAACATATAGAGAAAGAGGGTTCAGAAAAGACAAGAAAGAAGACGAATTAAAAAAAAAAAAAAAAAAAACGACTCGAAGGAACAGTAATTAAATGTGAAACAAGCGACTCCGCATCAAATTAATCGCACCGACCCTTTTATTGGTCGTCTTAATTGGAAATTCTCTTTACATTGGTCGATTTTATACGTGACTTCCCCACCGCCGCCGCTGCCCGATTGCGCCTTCGGGGTCACGTGGTGTGTTTGCGTGAGTGGGGGGGGGGGCGTGTGGAAGAGGTGGGGGAGGAGAGAGGGTGTGGGGAAGAGGAGGTGGGGGGGAGAGGTGTGGGGAAGGGAGTGGGAGTGGGAAGAGTTGGAGGGGGGGAGGGGGAAGAGTGGAGGGGGGGGGAGTGGGGAAGAGGTGGAGGGGGAGTAAGGGGGAGTGGGGAAGAGTGGAAGGGGAGTAAGGGGGAAGTGGGAAGAGGTGGAGGGGGAGTAAGGGGGAGTGGGGAAGAGGTGGGGTGGAATGAAGGGAAGGGGGTGGAGGGGAGTGAGGGAAAGAATGTGTAGGGGGTGGGGAGGAGTGGGAAGAATATGTGTGAGTCGGTAGGGGGAGGGGGGAATGTGGGGGGTATGTGTTGGTATGTGTGTGTGTATTTGTTTGTCTGTCTGTTAGCGAGTAGGAGCGGGGCAGGTGGACACTTATCACGTATTTTATCAAATGGATTGATTTTGCCAAACTGCTTCTAATTTATTGTCCTTTTCCGCGAGTCGTTTCGCTTCCCTTTTTATCCAAGTGGATTGTAATCAGCGGATCGAGTGGCTTTTGTCTTTGTGTGGTATTGTTATTTTCCTTGTTATTTCCGGCCGAACTGAGTTCGCGCGGCGCTTGTCAGCGTCCGCCGAGAGGCCGGCTTTGTTTGTTTGTTTGATTCCGTCGCTCACCCGCTCTCGTCCCTTGCAGACAGCGACGGGGAAACACCAGGCGCAGAAGGCAGCAACGAAGCCCGGCAGCCATGCGGCCCTCCGCCCTGCCCGCCCTCGCGGCCCTGTGCGGCCTCCTAGCGCTCCTGCTCCTCCCGGCGGCGGCGCGCGCCCAGGTGGGGCTGCGCACGGCGCCCCTCACCGCGCCCAGGGTCCGCGACAACGCCGGCGGCAATGACAGCCGCCTGGGCCCGCTGTCCAAGTGGACGGGCGTCCCGCGCAAGAATGCCACCAGCCATATCGAAAGCTCCCTCGCAGCCATCTTCCGCGGCGTCGCCTACGGCGTCTCGACGCTGCCCACTACCTCCTCCACCACCACGCCCGCGCCCCCGCCGCCGCCCGAGCCGACGCTGCCCGCGGGAGGCGCCCACAGGGGACGCCACAACTCGGGGCGACACTCGCACCCGTCGTCTGCGCCGCCGGCAGGAGACGTCGACGCGAAGGGCGGCGGCCACCACAGGGGCGTGAACAGCGTCGGCGACAGCCCCGTGCAGACGCCCTTCGTGGAGGCCGACGAGGACGACGTGCTTGTCGGCGCGGGCGACGGCCTCGCCCCCGACGAGACGGGCGTGGTGCGGGCGGACGTGGGCGTGAGCAATGTGGCGTGGGTGCGCGAGCTGGGCGCAGCCTGGGTCGTGCACGTGTACTGCGCCGCCGGCCTGTACAGCCTGCTGGCCCTGCTGGCGCTGTTCTGGCTGTCGCGAGTGCACGCGGGCGCGCACCTGCTGCCGCGCGGCTACTACATCACGGTGCAGCTGCTCATGTTCCTGGCCGCCTTCCTGCGCTGCGTGCACCTGTTCCACGACCCCTACGGCGCCGAGCACCGCCTGCCCGAGACGCTGTCGGCCGTGGTCGAGGAGGCGGGCTGGCCGTGCCTGACGGCGGCGCTGGCGGCGGTGGCGCTGGCCGTGGTGCGGGCGTGGCGCTGCCCGCGGCACCTTCCGCGCAAGCACCACGCGCCCGCCGGCCTCGCCGTGCTCACCGTCACCCACCTGGTGACCTCCGTGGGCGCGCACCTCGTCGCCGCCGTGCTGCCGCAGCACGCGGGGGCGCTGAGGGCGGCGGCGCGGACCGTGACGGCGGCGTGGGGCGGCACGGTGGGAATCGCCGGCGTGCTGGGCGTGTGGCGGGCGGCGCGGGAGGCGGGCCGCCATCCGGCGCAGCTCCTGGTGCGGCTCAGCCGCTCGCCTGCGGAAGCGGCGGCGCACACGCGGCACCCGCGTGCGGTCCTACTGCGCGGCGCCCACCTCACGCTGGCCGCCGCCTTCGCCCAGGTGCTGCTGGCGGCGCTGCACATGTACGCCCTGGTGGGGCCGGCGGACATGCTGGCCCTCCCGCCCGCGAACCCGTGGCACTGGCTGGCCCACCAGAGCGTGTGCCGCGTGCTCGAGGTCTCATGTGGCCCTGCTGGGGGCGGCGGCGGCGCTACCCGTGGGCGGCTCGCCCGTCAAGCGCGAGAGCGTGCACAAGAGCGAGACGAGGCTGCTGGCCGCCTTCTCCTGCCGGCGCTGCGGGGGCTGCGCCTGCGCCGACGACGACTCTCAGGGGAAGGACGACGAGGTGTTCCCGACGGTGTGCCAGGCCAGCCAGGCCGTGAGGAACTACACGCTGCAGGCGTGCGGCAAGGGCGTGTTCGAGGAGTCCCGCCCCCGGGGCCGCCCCCTGCACCACACCAACACCACGCGCACCTCCGCGCGCCGCTCCTCCATCCGCAAGTCCGCCACGCTGCACTCCACCACCTCCGACATCCACCTCCTGTGGAACCACCAGGGCCACGCGCCCACGGCCATCCCCGTCAGCACCGCCTCCCGCCCCTCCTCCATGTTGTTCAACGACGCGGGCTTCGTCAGGTTCCGCATGCAGGTGGACCCCAAGCAGGAGGCGGAGGATGTGACGAGGACGTCCCTGCAGGACCTGGAGGTGAAGTCGGACGGGCCGAAGGACGCCGCCTCCGCCAAGCTGCTCAGCCAGACTCCCGTCGGCGGCGACGACGACGACTCGCCCGTGTACGAGCGCACGTACGCCAACGTGTCCAAGTCGGCGGGCAACTCGCCTGTGCGGGCCGTCAGCCCGAGGTTCGGCGCCGCCTACGCCAACAACTTCGAGGAGCTGAAGCAGAAGCGGCAGTGCGCCGGCGACGTGTACAGCGGCGGCAGCGAGGACGGCCACTGCAAGAGCGACGGCGCCAGCGTGACCGACTGCAGCTCCACGGACGCCGCCTCGCCCGCCATCACGTACGACAACGAATGGTCCAAGTACGCCAGCACCTGCTCCTCCATCAGCGCCGCCAACAGCTTCGACGTCCGCATGTACGACGACTTCGAGGTGGCGTCGTACTACCACGCGTCGCCTGTGTCCTCGTCCGACGCCTCGCACGTATACGCCACCCTGCAGCGGCCGCCCCCGCGGGCGGTGCGGCTCGCTCGCCAGCGCGCCCTCCAGGGGGACGCCTCGCCGCCCACTGCGCGCCCGCACGACGCACACATGTACACTCAAGAGCACTTCATGGCCCCCCACGTCCTCGGCCGCACCTCTTCCATGTCCCCGCAGCCCGACTTCCTGGAGCGAGCCTCCGACGGCCGCCCTCGGGCCTCGGACACCGACCTCTTCTCCGCCTCGAGCCACCTCAAGGGTAACCTCCGCTTCCACGAGGCGATGGAGAGGTCGCCGGGGCCTCCGAGGCGGCCGCCGCAGCCCATCCCTCGCCGGGTCAACCTGCACGCCATGAGCCCCGAGGCCACGATGGTCATGGACTACAGAAGACGAGCCGCCGGGGAAGGCCCCGACGAAGGGGGCGAGCCCACGCTGCTGGTGCGCCTCGGCCAGTCGCCGTCGCAGCAGCAGCAGCAGGCGCGGCCGGGGCTCCTTAAGAAGATAGTCAAGAACAACTTCTCCCTCGGAGGCGCCGGCTACTCCCCCCTCAGCTCCGAGGACGTCTACACCCTCCCCATCCAGCAGCAGCAGCAGAAGGGCCCTCGGCACCCGTACCAGCACCAGTCTCAGCCACGGCGCTTCAACGACAAGCGAGAGCGCGTGCGGCCTTGTGGCCACCGTCCCCGCCGCGGCCCCGGCTCCCGGCAGGAGCCCTCTGCCACGAGCCCCACCACGTGCTCGCCCGTCCACATGCCCAAGTACCCAGGCGACCCCGTGCGCCACCTCCAGGGGCACCCGGCCGACCAGCAAGACTTCCAGCAGGCGATTCTGATGAACGGGAAGGAGATCGACGCGGAGGGCCGCCGCGGCGAGAGGCCTCCGCCGCCCCCCTCCCCCGCGCCGCCTCCGCCTCCCCGCCGTCTTCCCGTCCCGGTTCCTCCATCGCCTCGCACTCCGACCTGCCCTCCGAGTGCGTGGACTCCGACGACGAGATCCAGTCCGATGCCGCACAAAAGCACGACAGCGAGGACGACGAGGACGTGTCGGACTCGTCGTCGACTGCGGCGGCGGCGACGGCGGCGCTGAGGAGGACCTCGGGGAGTGGCCGCTCTCCGCCGAGGTCGCTTGTCTGACCCCCGGCCTCCTTTCTGCCGTGGGAGCGCCGCCTCTCGTGGACGAGGATCTTCACGATCTCCTTCGACGACGGGGAGTCCACGGCGCTCGACCTGGAGTGACGGAGCCGGTCGGGGTGGCAGAGGAAGGGTTCGATGAATACATGATTCATTCAAGCGATATCCTGAGGGGGTGCCAAGGATCAGCCAAAGAACGTGCGACGAAAGACAAACAGACAAAGGGTGATGGAAAACGGAGGAAATGACGAAAGAGAACGAGAGAGAGAGCGATAATAATCACATGTAAATCGCTGGGTCAAAGCTTGCTGGCTTGACTATGATGTGTGTGCAATAGTGGCTGGAGGGTTCAGGGTACGTGCTTAGACCCCAACCCCGAACACAGGAGACTCGTGTGTGCTTCATAGAGTTCGAAAAGTGGAAATAAAAGATAGAAAGAAAGGCAATGAAGCATCAACCGAACTACAGAGCCCGAATTTGTGATTTGTGGAAGGGAAGGAAAGCGTGTGCATTGGGGCAGACTTTCTACCGACGGTGCGTTGAGCAAGACCCAGTGGTTTTAATACGAGGTTTTACGAGTTCGTCTCCGAATTCCGTGTTTATCAGTGATTTCACAAGGTGCGAAAACCTAGAAGCTTTTCCGAAGAAGCTTTGCGTGTGTGAGAGAGTGCGTGTGTGCGCGTGTACATAAATATATTGAACTACATATTCAAGAACTAAAAAAAGATTATAAAATGGATGATTGGTGAGCGCTAAGCAGCTACAAACCTCTGAATGTATTTTTTTTTGTCTCTCCAGAAGCACATCCCCTGTGGCGGATGGCCAAGGCTTGTATTGTATTTCTTAAGGGTGGCTGGCCCCTCGAGGGCTGGCGCAGTACAAACCCTTCATTGTGATATTAAACATGTAAACAAGGGTAACCGAGGCATGGCAGTTGTAGAGTTGTGATGTATTGGAAGCAGTTTTTTTTTCCGTTTGATATTTTTTGTTTTTTTTCTTTTTTTTTTTTTTTTTTTTCTTTTCTTTTCCTAAAATGTAAAATAACCGAACGGCTTTTTTCCGGCCATTTTTTTCTTAATCTTTTCAACATCTTTACCAACCCAAATCTGATTATGCTGAAAGTTTGCGTAAGTACAAAACTTACCATCCTCCTTAAAAAATGCTGTTGTAAACCGCTCAGAAGGGAAATGCCTACGGGTCTGAGGACAGTCTAAAAAAGTATTAAGCAGAAAAATAAGAATTAGGGGGAAAAAATCTAAAAAATAAGATCAAATAATTCGAGGGGGAAAAATAAGCCTCAATAATCCTTTAAAGGTCAGATTCCTTTAGCGCAGATCTGTTCCATTTCACATCCCAGCACTGCACTGTCATGCTTCACTTGTGGTTCCATTGCTTGTAAGACTTTGTGCAACGTCTTTCATGCCAAGGTGTAAAGTGCACTTAATAATGTCCTTTACGTCTGGGAGGTAAGGAGAGGAGAGGAGAACACGCAGAGAGAGAGAGAGAGAGAGAGAGAGAGAGGAGAGAGAGAGAGAGAGAGAGAGAGAGAGAGAGAGAGAGAGAGAGAGAGAGAGAGAGAGAGAGAGAGAGAAGGGAAGCGTGTGTGAGGGAGAGAGACAGAGTCTGACAGAGACAGCAAGACAGAAACAGACAAGCAGACAGTGAGTGAGCGAGTGAGCGAGAGAGAGAGAGAGAGAGAGAGAGAGAAGAGAGAGAGAGAGAGAGAGAGAGAGAGAGAGAGAGAGAGAGAGAGAGAGAGAGAGAGAGAGAGAGAGAGTGAGTGAGTGAGTGAGTGAGTGAGAGAGTGAGAGTGAAGAGGGACAAAGGGAGGGAGAGACAGAAACAGAGACAGACAGACAGACAGAGACAGACAGGCAGAGATAGAAAGACTGACAGCTAGCCACAGTCAAGACAAACTTCCAGGGACAAAGTGAGTGACAGAAAATGGCTGAGGAGTGTGTGTGGGAGAGAGAAGGAGAATGAGAGCGAATCAGGGCCAGAAGGAGAGAGTGCGCGAGCAAGAGAGGGAGTGCGAGAGGAACACACTCCGCCTGTGCTCCAAAACCCTCCTCTCCTTCTCCCTCTCCTCTTCCACCGCTGTTTCCTCTCCTTCCTCCCTCTCGTTCTCCTCTTCCCCGACCCTCATCCTAAGACAAGGACGGAAAAGAGAAAAAGTAAGGGATAAATGGGGAAGTAACAACCTTCGGAGAACCGGAGAGGGATAGAGTGCCAATCACCTGGCACTGGCACTGCCTTGGCCTGAGATGAGAAAGTCTTACAAAGGACCCTAGATAACATTTCCGGGTTTCTGATCCGAGTAAAACGAACTTTAAGCTCAATGTACATTTCGTTTTTATTTCGTTCGATGAATATTTAGTCCTTTAAAAGAAAGAAGTTTACGAGTGAATGTATGTAAGTGTATATCGAGAGAAATAAGAGTTTAGCAGAAAATAATAATAATAAAAAACGATGCTTTGAGAAAAAAAAAAAAAAAAATGTTTACGGAAATTTCACCTGTCCTATTAGAACAAGATATTTATATTTTTATAAGCTTAAACATCTATCGATTTCTCGATTAAAAAAAGACAGCGGGAATTATTAAACGAATTTCCCCCCCTCTTTTTTCGTTGTGTGTGTGGCATATTATACCTATACTTATATATACACATAATGGAGGATTAATTTCTTTGTAAGGCAGTTCTAAGGAGCTTGGGAAAATAATCCCACGCTCTTTGCTGTAAAAAATGGAAGTGGAAGAATTATTTTTATGTTTTTTTCTCTCTTTCATTTCTTCTTTCTTATTTCATTTTTTAACTATAACAGAAAGGAGAAAGGAGAGACGAAGAAGGAAAAATGTGTATCATAATGATGATCAGTTTTGTTAGAGAGAGAGAGTTTTTTCTTCTAAACAGAGACCGACTTTCGTGTTTCATTTTTTTGTTTGTTTTGTTTGTATTGTGTTATGTTTAGTATCTTTTTCTCATATCTTTTTGGACGAAGTCATATCAACCAGCAGTCATTCCATTGTATCTTCTTAAACGTTTGGGATGTTGCCTACTGTATCCACAAGAATTGATGGTGTATTTGATTCTTGCATCTCTGAACGTATTGTTAATTCTGCAGTGTAGCCGGTATTTGCTTTATAATGCTAATAATGTTGATTATTTTTTTTAAAGAGAGAGAGAGCATTCCCTTTTCAAATTTTGTTGGTTTGTGTTAATGGTTTCTGACAACATTATTTGGAATTTTCTTATTTTCTTTTCTTCTTTTTTATTGTAAATGAAACAAACACACATGTAATTGCTCTCTGGTGCTTAGATTATTTTTTCTTTGCATTGGTAATTCCACAAGGGTATTTAATTTCTTCTTATCATGCGAAGATCTCCTGGAGTGAATTTCGAAAATACCTAGAATTAATTCAATGAATATTTCTTCAAATGATGACTGGTAAGTCACATTAAAGATAGAAAATTAGTAAATGAAATAACTTTTTTTTTCTTTTCTTTTCTTACGAAATCGAAATGATCTCATTCACACTTGTCTTGCACGATAATGAGCGAAACTCCAGGGGATTTTCAAACCTTGCTTCCACCTTTTTCTCCTCCTCCTCCTCCCTCCTTCCTGCCTCCTCCTCCCTCCCTCCTTCCTGCCCTCCTCCTCTCTCCTCTCCTCCTCCTCCTCCTTCTCCCTCTCTCCTCTCCTCCCCCTCCTCCTCCTCCTCCTCCTCCTCCTCCTCCTCCTCTCCTCCTCCTCCTCCTCCTCCTCCTCCATCAGAGGTGCTGCAACTTCTTCCCTCGTTCTCTCCTTCATGATTGCTCTTGGCTTTACGAAGTGCCATTATGAATGCGACCATTTCGCTTTCCTTCATGTTCTCTTTATAATCCGTACATGGATGTTATCCTTCACTTTTAAAGATGTGTATATATATATATATATATATATATATATATATATATATAATATATATACATATATATATATATACATATATATACATATATATATATATATATATATATATATATATATTATATATATATATATATATATATATATATATATATACATATATATACTATATATATATATATATATATATATATATATATATATATATATATATATATATATATATATATACACACACATTCTTTAAAAGTGAAGGATAACACGAAAGGAAAGACATGTACGCAAAACAGCATATTCATTTTTTCATTTCATAAATGATAAAAAGAAATGAAATATGTAAACCTAGAAATAATACTCGAAAACTGTATCATGTTTCTGTTGCTTCCTATGACTGTCTTATTTCCATTTTATTTTAATTTCATCTAATCTGTTGGAGCTCCATTGAATGAAATATATGTAAAACTTTAATACTAAACCAGAAAAAAACGAAAAAAATATATTCTTGTTTCCCTTCACCCACCGCTCCCCCCCCCCAACCCCATTATAAAAGGAGAATTTTGGGGAAATTCTTTGTAAGCAAAGTTGTTTCATGTGCCAAGCTAGTCATGAGAATAAAGGTGAAAACTGTGTGTGGACTTTTTTCTTATTGTCTTCATCTTCCTCGATCTGGATTGGGGGTTATTTCGGTATCGTTATTGTTGTGGTTGTTGTTATTATCATTATTATCATTATTATTATTATTATTATTATTATTATTATTATTATTATTATTATTATTATTGGTTAAAACTGATGTTATAATTATCATTATTATTATTATCACTACTACTATATTGTTAAAGCTATTATTTGTATCATTATCATTACCATTATTGTTATTTTCGTTTTAGTAATTGCTATGATCGTTAATACCATTTAATTTTTTTTCGCTTCTGATTTTAAAGTACATTTCGCTTTTAAAGCATATTTATCCTGATATCCACTTTGTTACGGCAGTGTACATACTCGCTTTTCACATTTCATTTTTTCGCCGTAATATCCGGTGTATCCGCACCCTACTATCCACACACAATTCTTCCAGCCTTCTCACATCATCAGCCGCCCTGCAATATGTACAGTGCACACATGCCCTGGACTCTGAAGGTAAACTCGGTGCTCTTGCAGGAGATCTTGACCTGAGAGAAGAGGATGGTCTGAGCAGGGTGTCTATATGTACATATGTGTGTGAATACATACATACATACATATATATATATATATATATATATATATATATATATTATATATATATATATAATATGATATAACACACACACACACACACACACACACAACACCACACACACACACACACACACACACACACACACACACACACACACACACACACACACACACACACACACACACACACACACACCACACACGCCCGCACGCACGAACGCACGCACGCAAACAAACAAACAAATGATTAAGATAATGATGATAATAAAGGCAATAATGATGAATGATAAGGATAAGTCTAAAGATAACGATAATGATGATGATAATAATCATAAAAGTGATGATAATAACAACAATGAGGATAATGATAACGATGGTAATAATCATAGCAATGATAATAATGAAAATAATAGTAATAGTAATGACAATAAGAATAATGAAAATAATAGTAATAGTAATAATAGTGATGATGATATCATTAGTGAGAGGAGTAACAAAAATGATACTAATAAAAAAGATAATAATAACTAAAAAGATGACGATAATGATGATAATGATATTGATAACTATTATGACAGTATCAACCACAACAGCAATGTTTAAAGTATATATGAAAATGATGATGATAATAATGATAATTATAATGATAATGATGATCATAAAAATAATGATTGAAACATATTAATGATGATAATGATAATAATGATAACAATAGTAATTATAATAATGATGAAAATTGGGATAACGGTAAAGGTAATGATGTAATGATAATTTAATAATAATGGTAATAATAATAATGCTAATAATAGTAACAATGATGACAATAATAATGATGATTATAATAATAATAATGATAATAATAATAATAATAATAATAATAATAATAATAATAATGATATAATTAATAATAATAATAATAATAATAATAATAATAATAATGTTAATAATAATAATATAATGATAATATAATGATAATGATGATGAATAATAATTAATAAATAATAATAATAATAATGAAATAATATAATAATGAATATACCAATAATGATAATGATATAATTGATAATTAATAATGATAATAAGACAATATATAACAATGAAACAATATAATAATATACTAATAACTAATAGTAATAATAGTTGATAATGATAATATCATAAAACATTGATAATAACTAATCATAATGCTGATTAATGATTAATAATAAATAAAGATAATAATAACAATAGTAATAAAAACAATGATAATAATGATAAAGAATGAAGAGGAAAAAAACAATCAGAATGATGAAAAAAAAAAGTCATGAAGATGGCGATGATAATAATAATAGGTGTGTTAATATCAAACAAATGATGATGATGAGGAGGAGGAATATACTACGAAAGAAAACGATAAATATGATCATTCTAACTCTATATATTACAT